TTTTCAGGTTAGTTCTGAGTTTCATTGCTTCCTAAAGGGAGAGAAAAGCTAACCCGCTGTATTTGATTATGAGCTTTTTAAAAGGGGAGGAGATTTAAAAAAAAAATGCTAACAGTGTTGTAGCATGAGTCTTTATATATAAAAAAAAGGCATAATCTATCCAAAATATTCATGGAGGAGAGAGTACTATTTTTTTTTAAAGTAGATCAAAACTGATGGTGTGGAGAGGGAAAAAAAAGTTTTTAAAGTTCAACAATTGAGTTTTCTGAACCCTTGAAATGTTTCAGCTAGTGTCATTCAAATTTGGACTATTTTTAAGCTTGACCTTTGGCAGAGCTTTATAAAATCTGGTGAGGATGCTCTAATAATGGCTTTAAAAAAAAAAAAGGAATGACTTTGAAATCTAAAAACTTAGAAAAAATAAGGGACCAGTTGCCTTTGCACGAAGTCTGGAGTAGGTAAGGGCGAATGGCTCCGGTTTCAAGACATGACATAAAAATCTCCACCCAGGCCTCTAAAACCATCCCATGGAGACAGGGCTTAGAGCTGAAGAAACTCAGAGGCTCTTGGAGCAAGTTAGCCTCGAAAACCTGTTTCCGGGCACTGGGGTTGGGGGTGGGGGTGGCGGGGGCGGTGAATTCTAGAATGTGGATTTGCGATGGTTAAGGATACCAAACCCTTGCTGGAAGCTTTCAGTGGGGGACCCACCCTTGGGTTCTGGGGTCACCAGAGGCAGGGAGGAAAGGGGGTCTTGCGCCGGTCTGCCTGGAGGATTTCGAGTTCATGAATGTAAGTCAGAGTCTGGGGCCAACGCAGCCTCCGCCCCTACCCCACCCCGACATTTCTTAAAGGGGTGGGGGGGGGGGGGTGCGCCTTTCCTGTGTATTCTGGTAGCAGTTTGAGCCCCTTGCATTTATTTAAATTCTATGATTGGTTGCTTCAGACGTGGCTCTGGAAGACCGTCTGCTTTAAATGTGACCACCTTTTCCCCAATGCCCGGGTTATTTTAGCAACTCTCCCTTCTTCCTCGGGAGTTCTTTCCGCAGGACTCTTGCACCGGACGGGGGTCCAGCAGGTAGGGGCTGCTTCCTGGGCGGAGGTCACTTTTTTGGGGGGTGGGGGGGTGGAGTGGGGGGATGGGGAGTGCGGGGTCGCCCGTGTGCCCCCGCGCGCCGGGGAGCAGCAGCATATGCCTGCGGTAGCGCAGACAAGCCCTGGCAGCCTTGTAAATTCTCACCCTGGGAAATTAGCAACAAAGCCCGAGCTGTGTCTCCTGTGTCTCGCGGCGGCTCCTGCACTTTGCCGGGGCTGCGGGGGGACCGGACGGAGCCGCAGAGCCTGCTCGGAGGAGCAGAGCGAGGCCGGTCGCAGGCGGGAGAGGGCGGGCGGGGAAGGAAGGGGTGCCGAGGGGAGGGCGGGCGGCAGTCTGCGAGCGATCGGGGAGGGAACTGCGTGCTCTGCGGGCCGGCCCCGGCGCTTGGCTGCCCGGCGCTTGGCTGCCCGGGCTCGGGTGGCCGTGCAGTGACCGCTCCAGCCGCTGGAGCATCATCATGCCTGGCCGTAAGAGCGGCGCGTTCTGCAGCTGAGAGCCGGGTGCTGCCTCCAGCTCGGCTCCTCGCGCGCCGCACCCGGGCCAGGGTAAGTTGTCTGGAGCCTTGGACGGGAGAGAAAGAGAGAGAGCGAGAGAGGAGAGAGAGCCGGGCTTGGACTGCAGCTGCCAAAAAAAAAAAAAAAAAAAAAAAAAAGGAGGACACCTGTGGCTCCGATGCGGTCAACAACACCGTCACTTGGCGGATCCTGGAGGACCTTGTTAGGTTAAACTTAAAAAAATCACAATAAGAGAGCGAGAGAGCGAGGATCCCTCCCACCCCTTTTTTTCTTTTTCTTTCTTTTTTTTTTTTTCAAACAATGCTTCTTTTTGACCTTTCCCAAGGAGAAGCGCGACCGAGCAGCCCCGGCGCTTGCTGAACGGCCTCCCCCTGCATCGCTTCCTGGAGAAGGTAAGCGCGGTGGCGCGGCTCGGGCGGGCGCGCGTCCTGGGGTGATGCTCCAGCGACCCCAGCACACCCTCTATCCCCCCCCCTGCAACTTTCTCCCGCCCCGCCGGGGTCCGTCTGCAGGAGGTGGGGGGTGGGGGGAATCTCCAAGACACCCGAACTCGACGACGATGGGCCGGGCAGCCGGGATGTCTCAAGTCCGACTCTCGGAGACAGGCAAAGTAACACCCCGCGCCGCAGCATCCTCGCTGCCCCGCGACTCCTGGGGGCCAGTGACGGGGGTGGCAGAGGGACCGGGCAGAGTTGGGCACTGGGACTGGGGGGGGAAGCGGGCACGGGGAAGGAAAGGGGGTCGCAGCCCTGGGTGGGCTCCCTACCGGCTGCCTGCCTTACTTGCAGAAATGCGTGCCCCCCCCAGTTGAAAGGACTCCCCACCCCCCTTTCCCTTCTCGCTGACACTTCTGCCCCTTCCCATGGTGCTATCCTGACAAATTGTTGTCCCCGATCCACCCCCCACCTCTCTCCCTCCCTCCAGAGGGAAAAGTGACTGTTCGGGTGGGCAGGGGGGCGAGGGTGATGCGGGGGCGCAGAGATGCGGGGAGAAGTGGCCCGAAGCGAGGGGGTTCCGTGGAAGACGATGCCCGGGCATCTCCTCGGCTGAGCTTCAGCCCGATTCAGCACATTTTTTCCCCGAGGTTCCCCAGATTGCTGTTATGAAATCCAAGTCAGATTTATGATCTTTTTCATATTGAACACGATATGCTATGCTAACGCTGCATGTGACAGTTTAATCAAATCCATTTGTTACCGCGAAGCTAAAAGGGGCCGCTGGGATTTTCGGATTACGGGCAGAGAGGTAGGGAAGCATGTGGCTTTGTCATTCGCCGTCATTTTGCACACTGCGTGTGTGTGTGTGTGTGTGTGTGTGTGTGTGTGTGTTCGCGCGCGCGCGTGCGTGCGTGTGTGTGTGCGCGCGTGTGTCTGTGTGTGTGAGTGTGTGTGTCTGTGTGCGCGCGCGCCCTGTCTCGTCTGGCCGCCCGCGTCCCTTCCCCCACCCCCTGCCGCCGCTCCGACCTGCTCCCAAAGTGGCTTCACAATAGTCGGTCCTCAGCGGTGCAGGCTGCGCACCAGCTCCCGGTCCACGCTTGAGCTCATAAAAAAAATATATATATATATATATAAATATAAAATAAAAGAGCTGGGAGACTCTCCCTTCCACCGCTACCTTGGGGCTTGCGGCTCAATGCGAAGCTGCTGCAACTCAGGCACGCCTAAGTCAACTCATGCAGAAAAAGGAGAAAAGTTTTGGTAAGGTTACAATCTCTCCTAGATGCACTTGCCAGCGCTCGGCTCTCTTGGCTGCGCGGCCGGAGCCTTCCTCTTCTTCCGCCGCTTTTGTGTGGTTGGGAAAAGGTTCGAAATATTATTGTGAGGACTGCTTTGAAAGACGGCTGTTTAAACCAATTAATCTTGCTGGGTGCCACAAATACGGCTCCATTCTTTGCCAGTCTCAGCCCCGTGTGGCTGCAGAGACACAACCACAATAGGCTTGGAGCATAAACTCGGCAAGGGATTCTTTGTTAGAGTGTATGTATGTTTCTTATTTTTTTTTTTATTTTGCATGTGAGCTGCATCAAAATTGAACTCAGTCTTGCAAATCTCTTGTTGGCCTTTGCCAAGCACTAGCACTTTGCTGCCATGGTAACTGTAATTAAACTGATAAGAGTGGAAAAATGTCAGTATCTCTGAGCCTTGCAGCTGCATTGGAGAAAAAGGGAATCAAATTGGTTCCCAGCTCCATTGCTCAAAAAGGGGAGGGATGGTGGAAGGATGGGGAGGGGGTTGGGAGTTGGAGGGGCAGAACAGAGTTAAGCAGTCTGAGATCTGGGGACATCTATTTGCATTGTTGTCCCTTAGGGGGGCTGCAGCCTGTAGGGGTGCTCTGGGCCAGTGAAAAGAGAGAAACAAGCTTTTAGGCCCAATCCCGTTTTCCAGTCTGGGCTGGGGGGCTGGGGTTGAAGAGGAGGAAGATGGGCTGGAGGAGGAAAAAAAAATCTTTTGTTTGGTACCTCTTGGCAATGGAAGGGCTGTGTTGGCCAAATTCTTTTAATCTGTGTCACTGCTCCCAGCTGCAGAACCTGCATCCCCATTTTAGCATCTTCCTGAGACACCTCATCCCTGCCAAACCCCTTTATGGATCCCCCCTTCCCGCTCCTTCTCCCAAATTGTTCTCTGTGAATCTTCCGACAGGGACAAAGTGGTTTCCATTCACAGTGCGTAGTTGGTCCAAAAATATAAAAGACTGTGTGTAAGTGCTGCAAATCTTTTCTTATGATTATTTTTTTAAGCCCTTGTGTGTTGTGGAGTTGTGGTTACTTTGTTGTGTTAACTACTAAAGCTGAGACTGCGCGGATGAATGGCACAGAACAAGGGACATAATGGAAGCAATCAACCGTTAGGCTGCCGCACAATGCAATCCAGGCAATTAAAAGCTCACCAGAGTTTAAATGAAACGGTTCTACTTATTTCTGCACAGCACACTGCACAGGCTATTATTTATGTCTTTTTTTTAATTATGATTTCCCTTAAACTGTCAAATAACTCAGAATGGCAGGGTCTCAGAGGCAATAAGAATTTCCCTCAGAACAATTTACATGCCAATCTAAAACTAGTTATGAGTGCTGATGTGCTCGGAGTAACTTGTGAAATGTTCCTCCGCTCTGATCATGTAACTCTACTCAGACGTGTTCTGCCGGATGGTAAGGGGTGGCTGTGGACCGTTTTCTGCCTTGCAGGCACATGGCAATGCGGTGGCCGAGAGATAGTTCTCTTTCTGCAACTGTTAACTTGCGGAGATTCGAAGAGTTCCTCTTGCAGAAAAATCTGGTGACGGAGGACCAAGAGACAGGAGCAGGATGGAGTGTAAAATTTTCAAACTCCTTTTCTGCCCAAGGCCAAACAGAATGTAAGAGTTTCAAATATTAATTGGCCTTTGAGTGCTAAATTAAAATGTCAACACAACAAAAACATTTTGTGAAGACAAGCGGGGTAGTGTAACTTGTGCCAAATGTTGGTATTCCCTCCCTCCGTTGTAAAGCATTTAGAAAAAAAACACAAAAGGGGAAAAAAAAATGAGCTGACCTTCTAGGCTAGATGAGAGAGATCAACACAACTAAGGAAAATACAGCTTAGCTATAATTAAGAAGGATTAAAAGAAAAAAATTTTTTTTCAGTTTTAGGATGTGAAAGGAGAATAATAGCCTCATAAGGTGAATAATTAGAATGGCCACTATGGATATATTTCTGAATGGCTTCAGTAACACAGCCCCAAATGTCATTTAGCAAATCCAGATGCCCCTTGCTCCTAGGTATGTGGTTAGCAAGCACTTGGGTATGTTTTGCTCTGTAATTAATGGACTTCATGGCTTGTGGAACTTGGCTACAAGAGGGGAACTAAGTTCTGATCAAAGAAACTTCATTTGTTAGAAGTTCTCAAGATTGAGCCTTAGCAGAGCCATCAAGGGTTTTCCTTAATCTATCCTAGACCCTCGACTCCTTCAAAGGCACAGACAGCCGGCTGGGAGAAGCCCACCTGCTTTTGCATGGTACAACCCAGCTGCTCAAACCGCAGCCCTGAGGAGGCCCAGGGCTGTGCAGAGGTGGCAGGAACACCAGTCACCCTGCTCCGTGCCATCATCCGTTCCCTTCTGCTAGAGAGCTCGGCCACTCGGCCCGGCGTGGTGTGGTTCATGTATGATTTTTCAACCAGAGAAGTTTCTCAGCATTGAGTGTCTGGGGTCTCGCTGTCCCTTATCAGTGGGATTCAAAGAGACAGTGAAGGTCATGGTGTGGGAAGGCCTCAGTGGAGGAAAACGGGAAGGCTTCTTTGTTAGGGTGCTGGGAACTCCACAGAAAAGGCCCTGGATTACAGGTTGGCATTGCTTCCTGTGAAATAGAGCCGAGTGCATGCAGAGTTCGTGTGTAGGGCTGAGTTTCAAACTTTAGGACCAGAGAGGAGGCATCAGAGAGCCGTGGGCTCGCCCAGCTTGGAGGAAGACCCTGTAGGTGGTGGGTAACCTTCGTTCCCTAGCTTCCAATAGCCCCTTGATGCCCCCTGTGAGTCTGCATCCTTATCTGCCAGGTGAGGGAATTTGGAATCAATGATATCTACGATATGTACAGTGCTTAAAATGAGTTATCTGATCAGCGTAAAGTTCTGAATAGTTGGTTATGCTTAAAAAAGAAAAACTTGAATGAGCAGTCTGAAAAGAAAAAGTCAAAGATGAATGTTCTTTCACTATGAAAAATGCCAGACCAGTTGTAAAATTCGTAGAACCCAGGTAGGTGCCTGATGATGAATCTGTATCTCCAAAATTTATACATTCCGCTGTGTCTAGTGTAGCATACATGGTATGTAATATATTTATAGATGTGTGTCTATATAATTTGGCATATATTTAGACCTTGCCTTGTTTTTCTCTTATAAAGTAAATAAGGAGATTTACTTTCATTTATGACAATGACATAGTCATACACTATAGTTATACATAAATCAATAAAGCATATAGTAATTTGGTATAAATCGAAGCACTAAGATGTGTGAGTATACATTTTTTAAAAAAATTTTTTTAACACAGAGTACTTTAAAAGATCAAGGGCACAGAAAGAAGTATCTGAATACAAACATCATAACGGACTGTTGAGCTGATTGGTGCACTGTGTACTTAACTGTAACCTCTTCTCCTGCCTGGTAAATTAGTGTGATTCCCTAAACCATCAAGCACACAGTAAATGAAATTTTTACACGAGCGAAGAAAACTCACTGTTCATTCTCTTTGACTATGCCTACATCCTAGTTTGTGAAGCAGCTTTCTTGGAAAGGTTGTTAGCCTCCGCCTTACATTTTCTCTTTAAAGGAATTCTTCTGTGTGGTAAATGGGGACACTCTCAGATAATTCACTGCAACTTAACTTTGTGGTGGACCTACTGATTCCCGAGGTTCATTTCCCACTTGTAACTTCCGGGCTGACTTCTTCAAGTTCGAGCCTTTTGATTCCAAAATGTAGTTCGATTTCAGGACAGCGCCGACCTGAATGCAAATAGAAACATGCAACCCTTCTTTCTCAAGGAGACAGTTTTGAAAACCGTCTGTTGGCTTGAGGCGTGTGTGTGTGTGTGTGTGTGTGTGTGTGTGTGTGTGTGTGTGTGGTGGGGGGGGGGTTAGTTCGGAGGGTCTTTGGCCTGCTTTCCAGGACACCCAGCTCTGTTTTTGTGTTTCTCTTCCCTCAGGTATACAAATGCTCTCAGTCCAGCCAGACACCAAGCCGAAAGGTTGTGCTGGCTGCAACCGAAAGATCAAGGACCGGTATCTCCTGAAGGCACTGGACAAATACTGGCATGAAGACTGCCTGAAGTGCGCCTGCTGTGACTGTCGCTTGGGAGAAGTGGGCTCCACCCTGTACACTAAAGCTAACCTTATCCTTTGTCGCAGAGACTATCTGAGGTAGGAATGAGTCTTGCACGCCCGTCATGACTGGATTCCGTTTAAAGGACTTTTATCAGTGTGTTTTTCTGTTATTCCATCACCTCCTGCCAGCGAGGCTGCCTGTCGATGTTGGCTGGTCAGCCTTCATGATGTTGCCAGGTGCCTACAACTCCATGGACAACCAGACACGGGCTTCTCCGGTCTGGTTTGGGCTGATCTGGATGCTCTGTGTAGGATAGGTTCTTCCTCCGTCCCAATGGCCCGTTTATGTCAAAGATGTGTTTGTAGAAACGGGCGTTCTAGCTTTATTATAAAAACCTAGGGACAAGGCAGGTGGAACACAACCTGAAGCTGTTCCTCTCTTGATTTCAGATTTGTCAAGTGAGTTTGATTTTTCTTAACTGAAAATTTGTTAGCATATGTGCGGTAGACTTTGACGAAGAATGAGTGTATCAGCTCCCCTTCCTAGTACTCCAAGTGGCCAAGGCAGAGTGATTTTTAGGCAGTGTAGCCCAGCAGCTTTGGGGAAAATAACAAAGATCTGCATCATTATGGGGAAATGATAGTCTCTCTCTACACTGGGAACATCTGGGGCAATCTCAGGACAATGCAGATGTTCTTGTTTACAAAGCCATGAAGTCGTCTAAACTTGTTTCCTGGTCTAGAATACCCAGCGTATAAACTAGCATTTAAGAAGAGTGAGTTGGCTTTTAGGACAACTTTTCTGACTCAATTCAACTGCAGATTACTTAGGTTCATAAAATAGGAGCTATTACATTAGAGAAGTGATAGATGGCATCCTTTGGATTTTCATATTTAATATGATTAATCATTTTTTCTCATCTGGCACTCAGCAATTTATTTTGAATTTTCTCCCTGATGCGACAAATTTTCTCCATCAGCAATAATTCCTTCACCCTCTTCGACTTTTGGGGAGGTGTTTGAGAGGGAATAATTTGCTGCTTCTTAGTCTATAATTCAGTTATTTTCAGTCCAATGTAATCTGTACATATAAAAATATTTCACTTGATTAATGGCAGCTCCAAGAGGGTGAATCCGGTATGGTTTATCAACTTCGACTCTTTCCCCTCAGCTGACAGCCTCATGACTAATTATGACCACTTGTTACTTCTTTGTGTTCCAAGAGCACAGAATACATGCAAGGTGTCAATAAGGGGAAGTGTCTCCTGAGAGCCGAAATGCCTGCATTGGTGGCAGCACAGCTCAGCGAGATGAACCCAGCTACTGCAGGAGCCCTTGGAGAACTCTGCAGCTTGTGTTTCTAGTTTGCTGCAGGTTGACATTAGGTTAACCTTGCGGACCACTCACTACTTTCTTTTTTTAAAAATTTTTATTAGTGAAACACCATGAGGTACAGTTGTAGACTTACAAATTTTTGTGCTTGGGTTTCGATTACACAATGCTCAAATACCCATCCCTCCACCAGTGCCCATTTTCCACCACCATGGATCCCAGTATCCCTCCCACCCCCATCCCCCCCATCCCACCCTGCCTCTGTGGCAGGGCATTCCCTTTTGTTCTCTCACTCCTTTTGGGTGTTGTGGTCTGCAAAAGAGGCATTGAGTGCCAGGATGGGAGATGCATGTTGAAAGTAGACTATGGACCAAACACTCACTACTTTCGACTAGCCACTCTGTAGCTTTTGAACTTTTCTCTCAGAACAAATGTTTCCTCTGCTTGTTCTGTGGGAGAAACTCATTTCTGCATTAAGCATTGTTCTTTCCTATGAGTGGGATCACATCCTTATCTTTATTAACCAATAGTCACAGCTTTTAATTATTGAGTTTTAGCTTGTTTGGGTGCTATATAAGGTAGATACTCCTGGCTATTTGCTCATGTCTGGGGGTAGGAACTCAGGTTCGATTCCTATGCCATGCTAGGAATCGAACCTGAGTCTCTCAACTGTAGAACATGTCTCAGCTTATTGAGTTATATCTCCAGTCCTTGTTGCAGTGTTTGATACTTAAAAAAAAATTTAACATATGTTCACAGTTTCAGTATCTGAAGTTAGTTTATGTAGCAACAATTCTAGAAGTTTATATAGTCCAGGCAAGAAGATGTTCTAATAAGCACTAAGGATAAAACATCTAAGAAAAAAGTTGTAGAAAGCCTCTGGAAATCTTTTTAAAATCTTATGACTTTTTAAACCTGATTATAAAGTTGCCAAGTTTATACAGTTGGTATCTAGTAGCAAATAGGGACAATAATCCGACTTATTCGGTCTTATTCTTCCTTGTGGTAACAAAAATATGTTCAACTAGCATTTTAGTCATAAATAAGTGCTGCATTGAAGGGAAATTGTCAAAATAGTTTTTATATGAGATATCCTTATCTTCTCTCAAAAGATCTGTATGTTGCTTTATTTGTGATATGTTTATTTACTTTCTCATAATCCCATGCCTTTAATGCATGTTGTCTTATTTCAAAAAAAATCATACTTCCTTTAATATGAAATGCTGGTCCTGATTGCCAATACATTAATTTCTCAGAGTCCACTTATCTCTTAAATTGGTCATTACCACATTAATGGCTGGTTGTTATTTTAACAGCCGGAGTTGTTAACATTTCGAACTAAGTTGTTAATAGTAAGTTTATCCCTTGCTTAAACTGAGGGCTTGGTATGCTTAACAGGACTTCTTTGGTAACTAGTAATTCATGAGGAATTTATAACTGCTGAAGTGAAATAGAGGTTGGTATGTGTGGAGAGCATTGCAAAGTGTTATAGCTTATGCTCCAGGTGTCAATTTTAGTTTATGTAGAAGGTGTGGATCTCAATGAAGTTGTGTTGAATGCTCGACAGCATTATTTCTACAAATTTCAGTTTGGATTCCGCATTTGTCAAGCAAATTTTATTTACAAATTCATTTCTCTACAAATTTCAGTTTGAATTCTGCATTTGTCAAGCAAATTTTATTTACAAATTCATTTCTTCTCATATGTTTTTAAGAGTACTTATTGAATGCCTTGTGTACCAAGCATAATTTTAGGTAATAGACAAAATTACCCAAGGGAAAAAAAACAGGTAACCCTAAGCTTTTTACTACTGTTGTTCACCAATTACACAAAAATTTTAATATGGCCAGTGAACAAATAGTATTTGGTGGCTATTTTCCAAAGTTTTGAATATTTTTTTCATTCCTCTTCTTGTTCAGAAGTTTCCTTTTAATATCTTGCACAAGCAATCTTCAATCATTTAAATCCTATTGGAACGTGGTTTGTTTTTAGGTTTTGGTTATTAGGTTATGTCATCTATTTAAGGCATTAAAACAAGCTATTGTATCTTACAGATTTCATTTCTCTGACTATATTTCTTGGCATATAAGTAAGAATATAGTTAAAAAAAAGGTTACCTGGACTAGTTAACTATTGCTTATAAGTATGATTGGAAGTCAGATAATTCAATCCGATCAAGGGAAGAGTGAAATATTTTTGTCAGTTGTATTTGATTTCCTAAGTAACTTCAACTAAAGAGAAAACAAAACACACTTCAATGCCAGGTGTTGAAGTTCTGACATTTTATTTTTGTTACTTTGAGTAGTGATTATGATGACTTGTTTTTTCACGTTCTATAAATGACGCATACATGAATTTAGATCCTATGATATTTTCTAAATGACTATACAACGTATTGTGGTAAATTTGGTTTCTTTCAGATTTTTTCTTCTCTGAAGCACAATTAACTCTTTTATAAATGAAAAGATTTTAGTTTATGTACAGAGATACACATTTTAACAATGAAATTACTTACTTTCCATAACAGAGCTAGCATAATATATTGTATTTTTCTGTAGACTATAAAATGCACAGATCTGATGACAGACAGTTTACCAGTTTGGGGATTGTTCTCTGTCTTTAAAAACTCATTAGATAAAGGAACAGAAGGATTGACTTTTCAAAACTTCCTCTATTAACACGCTTTCTGACTTAAGCTATGAAGTCAATCTGCCCATCTATACTTATATGCCAAAGCCTAGAATATATCTGTTAAAAATGTATCCAACACATAGAACTTTTTATTTTTAAAAGTTGAGTTTTTGACAAATTACACAGGGAAACATCTTGGCTCCTTGAATTAGAACTTAAAAGCAATAGAATTTTTTCATTGAATTGATTCAAAAGCATTGTACACAATATCAAAGTGATAATAATGATGTTTATAAGGTTCTAGTCATTGCTAAACTATCAACCTTATTTTGGTGTGGAAGATATCAATAAAATAACTATAATGCATAATCAAAGTTTTAAAATGAGGGTTCTGTTGCAAGGGTTAAGCAGTCAGAATAAGGATAAAGAACAAAAGACTTTTTAACTTGGAAACAGTAAAAAATATGTACTTAGCGTTCAAGGTATGGAGTGATGTTGGTTTTTTTTTTTAAAGACTGCAACTTTTTACTTATATATTTTAAGCAGTAAGGCCTGTTTGTCTGTTTATTTGTGTACGTGTGTGTTTTAATACCTCTATGAATGATTTTTTCTTTTTTTCAACCAGAGACTAGTCAAAGCTGTTTGCTGTGGTTTGTGCCATAAGGCTGTTTCTAGCTAGCTCTTTCTCTATGAGAAGCCAAAAATATCTTAAGTAAAATTTAATGCAATTTGCCATTTTTATAGGAGGATGATTTGTTTGAATTGAAAACTACGAGGAAAGAGTGATGCTTCATGCTCCACCATAGTTGCCAATTAACAAAAAGGATTTGAAGCTGCTATGCTGACTACAAATTTTATATGCCTTTATATAATAACTTTAAAATAGAAATTAGAATTAAATGCTACATAGAGCATCTATCTGACACACACAGCTCAAACATAACACTTCTAAATTTTTAAATCAGGTTAAACTTGTATTAGTACATAATTAGAGCCTTAAGTAAATAACAGTATGTTGTCAATATGTGACAATATACTACTTTATAATGCTGAATGAAATGATCATTCTTTTTTCTTTCATTATCATCTTTTTTAATATTAAGCATTTGGAAATATTTTGCCCAGAAAGCAGT